CAGGCAGCAGTTAAAGGAAAATGCATGAGGTACCTCTAACCGTCCTAAGAGAAGATCTCTGGGACTCGTTTTTCAAAATGTACACGGAGTTCAGATGACACACTGCCGTCTGTGCACATCCCTAGCTGGAAAGGCACAGAAGGCTCCAGGGCCAGGCCTGCTTGATTCTCTTCCCCAGAGGAAAGTCAGTCCCAGTGACACCACCTGTACCTGCAGTCCACCCCCATCCCCGGCACCTGCAGAAAGACACCGCTGTCCATCCCTGCCCCAGCCAGGGCTCCATCATACCTAGTTGGTCTCTAAGGTCATCAATTTCCATCTGCAGCAGGATGCACTGGCCCAGGAGACACCGGTGGAAGATAAATGGTTAGTCAACTCTGGCCTCCTCTCTCCCCGTTCTCCATCTCTCCCCCAGTCCTTACAGCCCCCATAGCCTGCAGCCCAGTGGTGAGGTGGATTGGCACAAAACCCTCAATGGAAAAGAGGCACCCACTCTGCATGGGTTATGGTAGGCAGAGGGGACTGGGGGGACACCTAAATCAGTTTAACCTGGACATGGATCCCACCATCTAGCATGGACCTCGATTTCTAACAGTCACACACAGCATTACCCGAGGACAGCCCTGGGCTCCCGGGGGCTGCTGCTGCCTTTCTGGTCTTGGGGGATGGACAAGTGGCTGCTGGTCACCTGAAAGAAAACACAAAATCCAGCTTCCAAGCCTCCCAGGGAGGTGGAAGAGACCTAGCAGGGTCTAAAGTGAAGCACCATCACCCTCTGCTGGCAACACGTTGCCCCTGCTCTGCCCAGTAACTCCAACCCTCCCTCTGGGACTGTCTTCCCTGTTCTCCTGTATGAGCCCATGTGCACCCGTGGCCCCCTAGCGTTGTGACTCCAGGTTGGACGCCAGCAGCGGGGCAGCCACAGCCAGGCCCTGGGAGGGCCAGTGTGCCTGAGCAGGACTTAACAGAAAAGGGCTCCGTACCACCAAAAGTCTTCTTCCAGAGTTGGAGTTTGGGGCACTGCTCCAAATCGCCCCCCACCACACAAACCCCACTCAGAGAGGACGATGTGACCTAAAGCCAACCCATCAACACCCCATTTCCCGTGGGACACCTGCCTGGGTGGGTAGGGAAGCCTGGGAGCATGGCTAAGCCCCCATAAGCGACAGAGACAGAGGTTTCCCTCCCGACCCCTCTCCCCTCCACCCCTATCAAACCCGCAAGACTCACCGGAGGGTGCATGGCATCTGGGCACCATGCGTCTCAAGGTAAAGGCCGAGGGCTGTGAGGTTCCTAGTACTTGGGGAGCTCTGACGTTGGGGTCACCACTGCTGTATTCTCCACGACGCACGGACAGGGAAATCAGCTCTGGCTTCTGTGTGGGAAGCTAAAACAGAAATTTCTGAGTCGGGCTGGTGGTGAGTACACATGGGGAGGGGCTGTGTTAAGGTGGACACTCCAGACTAATCTCATTAGCACTTTCTCCCTCAGTCAGCCCCAAGACAGGAGGGCTTGCTTAACAGCTAGGGAAGGAGGAATTGGGAAGTTGATGAGTCTACATGCCCAAGCTTTGCGCCCCACACATTAAGGAGTCCCGCGATCCAAACCAGCTGCCAGACCTGCCTTCCATCCCAGCTCCTCTCTCGGAAAGGAGGCAGAACAACTGCAGAGTGTCCAGAGCCAGGCCTGGCACAAACAAAGTGCTCCCTTTAATGTGTGCCCCTATGAGGTGGACTCCAATCGGGCATCCTAGTGTCCCTGGGCTCCCGATGACAACCCTCGAGCAAGGGATAGAGGGGGAATGGGTAAACAGGTGTGTGCTGGAAGAGAGGTGGGTGGGGGGAGACAGAAGAGAAAGAGGAGGAGGAGAGGGAGGAGAAGAAAGAGGAGTGCAGCGAAGAGAACCTACTCACTTGGGCCCTTGGGACGGCATCTCTATTTTGGTCATTATCTTCTCTGGTAGCAGCCTGGGACTCCCTGGTTTTCCTTCCTGCAGGTTTCTTCCCAGGGCTGCTGTGCTTGGGCTCCTTGGGTCTCGTGGACTTCCCCAGGAGCCCCACACCAGAGACTGGCGGGAAGCTGGCTGGATCAGGTGGAACTACTGAAAGTCTCTGCCCCCAGGCAGGAAAGGCTCCCCGCAGGGCCGGTTTTGGCACACCCTCTAGGGATTTCTTCTCCTGGGTCACCTTCCTTCCCAGAGGGCCCCGGGGTAGGGGCCCTCTAACGGCAGCTCCTGAGCAGCTGGGCCTGACCCCCACCTTTCCCCACGCCATGCTCTGCATTTTCTTCAAGGAAGGCGCATCCAGCTCTCCCATGGCCGGCCTCTCTACTACTGGGGTGAGTCTGCGGGTAGGAGAGGTCAGGAGAGGTCCCTGAACCTGAAGGTGACTCTCCCTGCGGTGGAAACTGGGGCGTCTGCAAGTGTCTGCTGGCTTCTTGGGGCTTCCGGGCTTGGCCTGGCTTCCTTGTTTGGTGCTAATGATCACCCTAATCACCGGTAAGTCGCTGCTCTCATCTGTGGAATCAGAGTCGTCACTATTCAGCCCGGCGGGGCCTTCCGCAGAGGGCTGCTGGGGATCCATGCGGAGGCTCCATCTGCTCTTCGAGCCCCTTTCTGGGTTCTCCCAGGCCGGTCCTGGCCCAGGAACACTGAGGTGGAGAGGGCCACCGGAGGACTGCTGCCATTCTCCAGGGCTGGGGCCCAGCACGCCTCTCCCACTGGGACCGACCTCCAGGTCCTCCCAGTTGTCAGCCGACCCTTCGGCAGCGGCGCCTTCTGGGGACGGGTGTCCCTGGACGCTGGACGGCGGCATGATGGTGGCTGACTCATCAGCCAGGTAGAAAGAGTAGTCCACACCGTCCCCTTGGTCGTCGACCGGGGTGCCAGGCCGGCCTTCCCGGCCCCAGAGTACCACCCTTCCCTGCTCTATCAATTCGCTCTCAGGCTCGAAACTGAAGCCCTCAGGATCTGTGAATCCGCTCTCCCCCTTGCCCTCACCACTGCGCTGCCCCCTCAAATCGAGGCCTCGGCCGTGGCCGTGGCCCTGTGGGGCTCCGGGGCTGGCGGCGTGGGCCCCGGCCTGCTTGCCACCCTCCGGGCCGAAACCAGCCCCGCAAACGGACACTTCATCTGTGGAGCTCATGGCGCCCGCCAGTCCAGACAGCCCAGGCTGTGGGGAGACGGTTGTCCTGGTAACAGTGGGAGAGGAGAGCTGAGCCCAGCCAAGCCCAGCCGAGGGGGACACTCTCAGCTTTGAGCCTGAGAGTGAACTGAAAGAGCAGCAAAGGGTGGTGTTCTGGGGCCACAGGAACAGCGAGGCCTTTGGGACACCACCACCCTCACCCCAGTCGGCTCACGAGACGTCACTGACAGCGCGAGGCTTACGGGCTCCCTCAAGGCCTGCGTCCTGCCTTCTCATTGTTCCACGCCTTCTCATTGGTCTGCCCATCACCAACCAGCGTGCCCCTTGTTGGACAAGGCTTCCGGGCTTTACCCAATCAGGAAGCAGACTCTTGGATTGCCCCAACGCCGGTGATTTGACTGGGTGGGTGTACTTGGGCCGGGTCTTGGGGCCAGGGCCCACTGGAGCTCTCGATCCACCTCTTTCTTCCTGTCCTGCTGCCTCTGGCCAGGCACCTACTTTCCAATGACAGTCACATCTCCGAGCCCCAGTGTCCCATTGTAAGGCGGAGGTCAAGGGGAGAGCTGCCCCCAGCTCATAAGCTTGGGAGAATAAATGTCCTGATGCACGAGAAGCACCAGGCACACAGAGGAGCAATCATTAAAAAGTAGGGAGGGAGCAAAACAGCAAGAAAGAGATGGATTGAGAGCTCCAGTGCACCCTGGCCCCAAGACCCGACCACAGCGCATCCACGCGAAAGACGGGTGTCGGGGCAAACCAAGAGCCTGTGTCCCGATTGGTTAAAGCCCAGAGGCTTTGCCCAACAAAGGGTGCGCTGGTTGGTGGAGGGGGGACCAATGAGAAGGCTCGACACCTGGGTCGAAGGCGCGCGGAAGCCACGCGCTGTCTGGGACACTTAGTACTTCCGCCTGCTGTGAGGGCAGCAGGGTCCCGAAGGCGTCGCTGTTCCTGTCCCGTGGCCCGCTTGGCTGTGCTTGGCTCTCCTCTCCCGCCATTACCAGCACGACCGTCTCCCCATAGGTCAGGCTGCCTGAACTGGCGCCATGAGCTCTCCCGACAAAGTGTCCGTTTGGGGGGCTGGTTTCGACCTGGAGGGTGGCGAGCAGGCTGGCACCCGCACGGTCAGCCCCGGAGCCCCACAGGGCCATGGCCGTGGCCGAGGCCTCGATTTGGGGGCACCGTGCAGCGGCAAGGGCCAGAGCAGGTTCACAGATCCTGAGGGCTTCAGCTTCGAGCCTGAGAGCGAATTGATAGAGCAGGGAAGGGTGGTACTCTGGGGCCGGGAAGGCCGGCCTGGCACCCCCGTCGATGACCAAGGGGATGGTGTGGACTACTCTTTCTACCTGGCTGATGAGTCAGCCAGCATCATGCCGCCGCCCAGCGTTCAGAGACACCCGTTCCCTGAAGGCACCGCTACTGAAGGGTCCGCTGAAAACCGGGTGGACCTGGAGGTCGATCCCAGTGGGAGTGGCGCGCTGGGCCCCAGCCCTGGAGAATGGCAGCAGGCCTCTGCCGGTCGTCTCCACCTCTGTGGTCCTGGGTCAGGCCGGGCCTGGGAGAACCCAGAAAGGGGCTCGAAGAGCAGATTGAGCGTCCAAGTGGATCCCCAGCAGCCTTCTGCAGAAGGCCCCGCCAGGATGTCTACTCACGACTCTGATTCCTCCGATGAGACCAGTGACTTACCACTGATGAGGGTGGGCATTCGCCACAAAGAAGGAAGCCAAACCAAGTCCGGCAGCCGCAAGAAGGCAGCAGACACATCCAGACACTCAAGCTTCCACTGCAAGGAGAGTTACCTGCCCGTGCCGGGCCGTTTCCTGACCTCTGCTCCCTGCGGACTCACTCCAGTCATGGAGAGGCCGGCTGTGGGAGAGCTGGAGGACTCTCCCCAGAAGAAAATGCAGAGCAGGGCCTGGGGAAAGGTGGAGGCCAGGCCCAGCTGCTCAGGAGCTGCCACTGCAGGGGCCGTGCCCCGGGGCCCTTCAAGGAGGAAGATGGCCCAGGAGAAGAAGTCCCAAGGGGGTGCCTCTCAGCTGGCCCTGGGGAGATCCTTTCCTGCCTGCGGAGAGAGACTCTCAGCCGCTCCCCCGGAGCCGGCCACCTTCCCGCCATTCTCCGGTGTGCGGCCACACGGGATGTCCAAGAAACCACAAAAGCCTAAGCACAGCGGCCCTGGGAAGAAACCTGCAGGAAGGAAGACCAGGGAGTCCCAGGTTGCGGCCAGAGAAGATAATGACCCAAATAGAGATGAGGTCCCAAGGGCCCAAGTGAGTAGGCCCTTCTCACTCTCCTCTCCCTCTTTATCTTCCTCCTCCTCTGTCTCCCACCATACCTCCTCTCTTCCAGCACACACCTGTTTAGCCATGCCCCCTCTATCCCTTGCTCGAGGGTTGTCATCGGGAGCCCAGGGATACTAGAATGCCCAATAAGGGTCTTTGTTGTAGGGGCACATGTTAATGGTGTGTGACGGACATACCTCCAGACACTCTGCAGGGGTCCTGCCTCCTCCCCCAGAGAGGAGCTGGGATGGAAGGCAGGGCCAGCAGCTGGTGAGGTTGGGGTGATCCCCTAAAGTGTGGGCCACAAACTCGGGGCATCTAGGCTCATCAACTTCCTGACTCCTCCTTACTTAGTTGTTGCCCGAGCCACCTGGAAGGGAGCCCGGGCTATCTCAGTATCCCCAGTGTTTTCCCTGGCTGGGCTCTGCCTCCTGGCATGGGGCTGACTGAGGGAGAAAGTGCTAATGAGATTAGGCTCCGGAGTCTCCACCTTACCACAACCCCTTCCCACATGTACTCACCGCCTGCCCCCACCGCCAGCCCGACTCAGAAATTTCTGTTTTAGCTTCCCACACACAGGCCAGGGCTGCCTCGCCTATCCGTGCATCGTGGGGAACTCAGCAGTCGCAACCCCAACATCAGAGCTCCCCAAGTTCCGGGAACTTCAGAGCCCTCTGCCTACAGCCTGGGAGGCCTCCTGCCCAGACGTCATGCACCCTCCGGTGAGTCTTGCGGGTTTGATAGGGGTGGAGGAGAGAGGGGTCGGGAGGGAAACCTCTGGCTCTGTCGCTTCTGGGGGCTAAGTCTTGTTTCCATTCTTCCCTGCCCACCCAGGCAGGTGCCCCACGGGAAATGGGGTGTCGATGGGGCTGACTTTAAGTCACATCCTCCTCTATGAGTGGGGTTTGTGTGGTGGGGGGCGATTTGGAGCAGTGCCCCAAACTCCAACTCTGGAAGGAGACTTTCAGCGGTACGGAGCCCTTTTCTGTTAAGTCCTGCTCAGCCACACTGGCCCTCCCAGGGCCTGGCTGTGGCTGCCCCACTGCTGGCGTCCAACCTGGAGTCACAACGCTAAGGGGCCATAGGTGCAGATGGGCTCACACTGGGGAACAGTGAAGACAGTCCCAGAGCGGGGTTGGAGTTGCTGGGCAGAGCAGGGACAACGTGTTGCCAGCAGAGGGTGATGCTGCCTCACTTTAGACTCTTCTATGCCTTTTCCACCTCACTGGGAAGCTTGGAAGCTGGAATTTGTATTCTCTTTCAGGTGACCAGCAGCCACCTGTCCATCCTCCAAGACCAGAAAGGCAGCAGCAGCCCCCAGGAGCCCAGGGCTGTCCTCGGGTAATGCTTTGTGTGGTTCCTAGAAATCCAGGTCCACACTAGATGGTGGGATCCGTGTCCAGGTTAAACTGATATCTGTGTCCCCCCGCCCCGCCCCATCACCACCTTCTGCACCCCACAGAGAGAGGATGCCTCTTTTACATCGAGGGATTCATGCCAACCCACCTCGCCACTGGGCTGCAGGCTGTGGGGGCTGTCAGGGCTGGGGGAAAGAGGGAGGACAGGGAGAGAGGAGGCCAGAATTGACTAACCGTTTCTCTTCCTCCGGTGTCTGCCGGTCTGGTGCATCCGGCTGCAGAGGGAAGTTGAGGACCTTAGAGACCAACTAGGTATGATGGAGCCCTGGCTGGGGCAGAGATGGACAGCGGTGTCTTTCTGCAGGTGCCGGGGATGGGGGTGGACTGCAGGTACAGGCGGCATCACTAGGACTGACTTTCCTTTGAGGAAGAGAACCAAGCAGGCCTGGCCCTGGAGCCTTCTGTGCCTTTTCAGCTAGGGGTGTGCACAGACAGCAATGTGTCATCTGAACTCTGTGTATACTTTGTTCACGAGTCCCAGAACTCTCCTTCTCTTACAACAGTTAGACACACCTCATGTGCTTTCCCTTTAACTGCTGCCTGGTATGGCTTATACGGTTTTTGCTTGCTGGCTGGCTTATCTGTCTTTGGAACACGTTCTGAACAGTACTGGGATGGCCCAGCACCTGAGAACCACTTTCCTCCTTAAAAGGCATTTCCACATTTAATTCAGGTGACGGGTGGGTGAGTCAGTACCAAGGTTGGTGGGGTTTCTGGTTGCAGGGCTAGGTGGTTCCCCATGGGGGCAGGGGGTGGGTTTCTGTTTCCCTGGGTCTGGAGTGCCCGGTTCTGCCTCTGTTTCAGCGGCCATGAAGTCCTTCACTGACAAGTTCCAGGACCTTTGAAGTGAGTATTGCACACACCATGCCCCTTCCCACAGTCCCGGTAGCTTAGGAGGGCTGTGGGCTGGCCCTGGCTGGGGGCCCGTCCCTGAGCCTGCTCTGTTTCACAGGTTGGAGCCAGCATATTCCTACAAGATGAACAGCTGCCAACTTTGGAGCTCCAGAGCTGCAGCCAAGCGGGTTCCCTCCGTATCCTCTTCAGCCAGGGCTTCCTCTCTTCCACTGCGTTTGCCCCCTTCCCAACGTAGTTCAAAGCAGTTTGAAATAAAGTTGTTCTCATATTCTGTGGTCTTTGGTCTACCCTCTCTGTGATTGTTGGGAGTGTTGGGGTGTGCCAGGTGTTGCTCTGTTCCCTGGAGCTGGAAGAACAGTTCCACTGACGCTCTGTGGTGGGGCCTCTCCCTGCAGGGCGCCTGGGCCGGCCTCTGAGCAGCAGCCCTGCAGTCACCATAGTGCCTGGGTCTAGGTGCTGTCAGGGCCCTGCCCCGCCACAGGAACATTTCCTGCCTTTCTCCTACACAACCTGCTCATGTTCCTTCCTTTTCTCCTCCTACTTTGGAGTCTCGCAGTTCCCCTTCTTCAGTGCCATTCTCCCTCTCCTTCAGCAGGAACTGATGGCCTCCTTCCCGAACCCCTGTCTCTCACCTTTCCTCCTGCGGTTCACTGTCCCAGTTCTGCCCTGTCACCATCCTTTCCATCATGAGCATCCTTGCTCTCCCAGTGGCTTCACGTGGATGGCCTTTCCTGCACGGTTATTTCCATGCTGTTGAGGAACACGACAGAGCCCAGTCCTCTTTCTGGAGCTATTATGTCCCTCCGGTGCCACCACGCACATAGTCAAGTCATCTGGGCCAGTAACCTGCGTGACATTCTCAGTTCATCTTAGTCCTCACCTTTGAACCTCAGTTACCAAATCCAGTCAGGTCTCCTCCTTAGTTTTAGTAGCCAGGTGGAGGCAGAAGCCACATCCTGGTGGGAAGCTGAGCCAAAGAGAAGATACATGGAGTGCGGAAGAAAAGGGCAGGGTAGACTCTTGGTTGGAGGTGGGGACACTGGATCTGTTCTGGTGCCTGCGGGCCAACCAGGTAGTAACTGCAGGCTGGGAGATACACGGAAGGCGGCTTCCACATCCTTGGCATCCTATAGGCAGCCAACAGTCCCTTCAGCAGCTGGTCAGCTCCATACTCTTGATTTGAAAATGGCCGCTGCTTTCCAGGGCAAGTGTCGATGCTAGGCCTGGCTGTTCTTGGATGGTCCCCGTGAAATACCATTTCACCACCCCCAAGTTCGCAGGTTTTTATTCATGTGATATTTCCGTGTCCCTGCTCAGTCTTCCAGACTGCCTCTCGAGGTCACACGAGATTTCCTTGAGCTCCCTATTCTGCCTTCACCCTCCCTGACAGTTGGGATCGCCCGCTACCTTCAGCCCGAATCCTGGACTGGGTGGGCCCCAGATTCGGGCACAGATTCCGATTCCAGTGAGGAGGTGTGTGTAGGTTCTCCCTGCTCCCATCGCCAAGAGACTGGGTGTTGAATAGACAAAGACAATCGAAATGCAGATACCATTCAAGGTTTGTGTGTGTGTGTGTGTGTGCGCGCGCGCACGTGTGCGCACGCGCACCCGCACGCCTGCATGAGCATGCCCCTGCATGCACCCGCTTGGGAATCAAATTAATTGGGGGTGCTCTCCCTTGAGCAAGAAAGGGCTGATTCACAGAGTGGAGGCAGTGATGAAGGATCCATGAAGGATCAAATGTGTAAAAGCAGGGCTGGGATCTACCTTTGACAAGAGGTGTTGTTCAATTCTAACACCTAGGAGGGTGCAGAGTGGGACGAGTGGGACGTCCCCAAACACAGCGGTGGGTGTCAGGCTCTCAGAATGATGGAGGTGCCACAGTAGGCTCCCGATCCTCCACGGGATGAATGGGATGTATCAGCACTCCCGTGTGTGGGTGCAGTGATAATGCCTCAGAGTCGCTGGTTGATGTTTCATCTAGGAAGCAGGGAGCTCCCATGGGAAGGTGCCATGACTTGAGGTAAGGGAGACACAAGCAGGTGGAACAGTGCAGGTGGAAAGCCAGAAAGAGGGACTACCCTGGGACAGCTGGTCAGGCTCGGTACCCGCCTTCCCACATACTCTCACTGTGTCTCACTGCTGGGACGGGGTGAGACCATCACACACGTGGAGGGCCAATCACGGGCCTCAGAGATGTAAACATCTCTGTTTACATCTCTGTTTACCCACAGTGGTGGGGACATACTCCATTGACATCGAACCCCTTGCCTGAGAGAGTTGGCTTCATTCCTCAGGCCAAGGCTTTGGCCCTGACACAGGTGGTTTTTTCTTGCAGAGACAACACAGTAGACTGGTGTCTGGGGGAAGACATGTGTCAGGGACTCTCCAGCTTGGGTTTTTGCCACCGGAGACATCTAGGCAGGTTCTGGTGGGGGAAGAACTCCAGCCCCAGTCACTGTCCCGGGGGGAATGGGCCATGGTCGACACGGTGTGGAAGGGGAGAAGCCCGTGGACAGAGTCACGGAAGGCATGAACCCATCCCCCGGTGGCTGGATTTGCCAGTCCCGCCTCTCAGCACACCACCTCGGTTCCATAGTCAGACCACTTCCCGCACAATAATGGAGCTGTAACATGTACACTCCAGGCCATGGTCGGGCGGAGCCTTCCACTTCTAGGGGAAATAAGTGCAGAATATGAGGCTCCTCGGATTAGAGGAATCCATCTGGGCCCCAGTCGAGAGGAGGAGGTCGAGCACCTCCACTCATTCAGTGATCCCCTTTTGCTTTTCCCTCAAGCCTCCTTTCCCACCAACAGGATTGTGGGGTCCAGCCTGGAGAGACTTAGATCCCCTCCCGCCTTGTCCTGCCACTCAGCTCAGAGGGGCTCCGGAGGTCTGGTGAGCTGCGTGCCTGCCCTCGATGCAGCCATAGTGGCGGAGCCCTGAGCAGAATCCCACCTACACCCGGTGCCAGGGCTGCCACAGGTACATTTCCATATGAGACCTCTTACTCTGTTGGCAGAAAAGAGCGTCTCCTCTTCAGACTCCAGCTAGGGCCGAAGGTGTGTGAGTCTCCTAGCACGCCCGCCAGCCACAGTCCGCAAGGGTGGCCTTCCAGGCTGTGGCGGAGGCCCAGGGCACCGCACACGGGGATGTAAGATGGCAGTCACAGGATCATTGTGGTCATGGTGAGTAACAGCCATGAACTTTAGCCCCCCTGGAACACACTCCTGGGTGAACTCAGACAACCTCATGCACGTCTGTCCTCAGCCTCCAGGCCAAGAACTCCTCCTTTTCCCCACACATTTTCTCATTATCCTTTTCCTCAAAGGATGAGGCCAACACCAGTGTTTGCCAGGTACGGCTGCGTAGGCTGTGGCCGCCAGGGTGGCCGTGCAAACTCTATCTGTGGGATCCCAGGGTGCCCCGTTCTCATGATCCAGCGTGAACGGCGCCCATGTGGTTGTGCAGTGTTGAAGTCCAGGTCACTACCATGCAGAGCAAGGAACGGAACGTTGGCAGGGTTTTGGAACCCTCCTGTTTGCCCCATCCCGATCACTACCTCCCCCTTTGCACACGCCAGAGGAAATCGCTCTGCTGACTTTTCCAATAATCACTCACTTTCCTTTAAGTATTAATAATTGCCATTTAATAACCCTCACCAACATAAAAAAGTTAGAGGCAGTTAAATGTAAAATTATATGTTTGAAACATAATACACACACACACACATACACTCTGTCTCTCACACACATACACGCACGTGCACACGCACACACACACACACACACACACACAGGGATAACTCAGAAGCCGGCCATTTGACAGGTATAAGGTGATCAAGCCAGGTAACTACTACCCAGGTCATGAAACTGTACATTGCACCTTTAGAGAATTGCGGTCTGAGTGTCTTTCTCTGAAGGAAGCCAAATACGCATGCTACATACTG